AAATACGTAATCATTCTATTTTTTCTTTCACAAATATCACTTCTAATTACAAAAAAATCTAACTATTTTCCTAAACAAAAAATTTTTAGCCTACTCAAATAGTCAAAAACTAAAATATCTTACTAAAATAGCAACTTCCCAAACCCTCACAATATGTGATTTTTAAAATATAAAAACAATTTAAACCACCAAAACCACCACCCTCACAATATGCCTCTGTATTGTTACATCTATATCTATTTTTGAAAACAAAAACTAACCAGCATATATCATTTTTTTATTTATTATGTTTAAAGTTAGATTTAAAAATAAAAAAATATAGATAAATAATACATTTGTTTTTTTCAATTCAAAAAATATGTTCAGGTTGAAAACTCTTTGTTCAACAAAATATATTCAACAGAATATTTAAAATCTTTTTTAATTGAAAATACAAACAGAATATCTAAATAAATAAAAAATACAAAGTCTTACAAATTATTAGGATTGCTCGCGGTTTGACGGTTCAGTTGCGACCAAATAAACCTCAAATTCATTATCCGTTCAAAACTAGAAAGATTGAAAAAAATCAATCTGTAACCGTTCACTTATCGTTATGCATCAATCCAAAATGTAACGAATTGATTCAGTTTAATCAATTTAGATAGATTGATATATCCTCTATTCACCCTTACTGACGTGTAGAAAATAAAATTTCCTGAGATGCACGGAGAGCATGGGTGGGGTTATAATTTGCCCACCGACGTGTGGAAAATAAAATTTCCTGAGATGCACGGAGAGCATGAGTGGGGTTATAATTTGCCCACCGACGTGTGGAAATATCCCGGAGTGCACGGAGAGCATGTGTGGAGTTATAATTTGCCACCTTTTTACAGGATGAGAATATCATGCGTATTTAAGGATGTGAAATAAAATCAACTCCTTTTTACTCGTGTTGAATATCGAACAGTATATCTCAATCATGTTTTGAAAAATTTCTCTATTTTTTACCCCCAATGAATATCAAAGAGTACATCTCAATTATCTATCTGTTACATAAATTATTTTTCTACATTTTGAAATGTCTCAATCAATCAATTAGCAAATTAAAATTGTGATAACTTATGATTAATAATTTGAAAAATTTACAAATTAATTTAAAATTTTATTTTTAAACCGCTCAATCGAACCATACACACTCTTACATATAATATAACTTTTTGATTTTCTAAAATGTGGGTAAAGTGGTATGTTAACTATCAATCCATATGAGGGGATTAGCGATTCCAACTCTCCCATGGGAATGCTACTCCCACCATGGGAGGGGATTCATACTCCAATGAGATTGCTAATGCCAGGCATTTTGTTGCACACAAAAATAATTTGATAAAAAATTTCTTACTTTCATGGTTTTCTTTTTTTGGAATAAAAATAATTTTTTTAGTATTTATTTTTGTCAATCTAAATTTGTAATTTTTTGACAAAAAAAATTAAGAAAACAAATTCTACAAACTCAACCAAATAGAATTTGAAAACAAATTCTCAAAACTCAATAAAAAATCTGAAATCTGAATGACTTTGGAATTGCTTTCCAATTCCACAAGGAAAAGAAAAGAAAAGAAAAAAAAAGAAAAAGCTCTATTTTTACAAGTTGTAAGATATATAATATTTATTAGGGATTTTTATTGATAAATTTCATTTAGAAGTGTTCTAATCCAAGAAGTTGATGAAAATTTTTTTTAACCCACTTAGTCCCATGTATTTATACTTTTATTTCATAAAGTCATTTTTCTTGATTTACATTATTTTCTTAGACTATTATGCCATTATATTTAATATTGATATTTAATGTGGAGAGAGAAAGGAAATGACAAAGACATAGGAAATTTCATACACAAATTAAAAAACATTGATGTTATTATTTTATATTATTATATAATGTAAATATATTTTTAATTGACAACAAATTAAAAATAATGTAAACATTCTCTTTCATTTGATGTGAATATATTTTTAATTGACAACACATTAAAAATAATGTGAACATTCTCTCTCATCTGATGTGAATATTCACAATAACTTTCCGAAAAATTCTCTCTCATCTAATGTAGTGATGTGAACGTTCTTATTTTTAATTGACAACACATTAAAAATAGGGGCATTTACATACAAGTCCCATTTTGTGAACTTATAATCCATTAGGTCCTAGATAAAATTATTTGCTCCTTTAAGTCCCATGAATTTTTAATAGATCAATTTACCCATCCCAACCCCCTTCCCTCTCCACCAAATTCATCGGCGATTTCTCTCTCTCTCTCTCTTTCCCCATTAATGAACAAACCAACAAAAAGAAGACCCAGGAGCACCTATAGTTGGAGACTTTGGATGAAGCTGTGGAGGCAGAAAAGATAGGGCAAACCAAATCCAGAACCTTATTAAATTCTCAGCCATCTCTTTTTCCCACTTTGGCAATTATACAATACAGAAACCATTTTAAAAACCAAATACAAATCCCATCTTCTCAGAACTGCTCAAATTGAAAACCATTTTGCAATGACGGCTGTGTGTCGGTGTGGTATACATAGTAGTTAAACGTCGACACCTTCGTTGGTTTACAGGTGTGTCATGGTTTTTTTTGCAACGTTGATTTTTTCGTTTGTTGGTGGCATACTGAGCTCACCGATCATTGCCAAGATATTTCGGTCCACCATTGAAGGATCTTCTCTTCTTGGTTTGAGAAGGAGAAGTCTTTGCCTTCGCAGACGTCGTCCATGGATTGTGATTGTTTGGCTAGAAAGAGATTACAGAGAGAGAGAGAGAGACTGGGTTTAACTAGGGAAAGTTGAAAACTAAAATTTAAAGAGATGGACAATACAATGAAAAAAAGAGAGAATAAAGTTTTTTTTTTTTCTTATACATCAGAAAGAATAAAGTTGAAAACTAAAATCTACGCTATTATTGCCGTAGCATGGGGTAAAATTAGATTTTTGTAAACTCTATGCTATTGTTGTAAGTCCGAGAAAATTATAGAAAGACTACATTGTTCTTCGGAATTTTAATTTAAAATTGAGAACATTCTCAGTTTATAATATTCTCAATTTTAATTATAAAAAAAATTGAGAAATTTTTTAAAATTGATAATTATAAATTTCTTAATTTTGATAATATTCTTAGTTCATACTAAAAAAAATTGAGAAATTTTTTAGTTTTGATAATTATAAATTGAGAATTGAGAACATTCTCAATTTTGGGATTAAAGGGCAAAACGTCTTTTTACCTATAAATGGGACTTATTGGTTCAAAAACTTTTTGACAGGACCAAAGCTACCACCAAATATGTAAACATGACTTTTTAGTAATTAACTCTTAAAAATTATGTGAACTTTTTCTCTCATCTGATGTGAACGTTCACAACACCTTTTTGAAAAATTCTCTCTCATCTAATGTAGTGATGTGAATTTTCACAACATGTTGTATTTTTAATTGACAACACATTCTTATTCACAACATGTAGTGATGTGAACGTTCATATTCATATGTTTTAGTATGAATATTCACATCATGTAATAGACAACACAATGAGAAAAATTTATTTCAAATTAATATGAATATAATGATGTGAATATTCACATCATATAATTAACAACACAATGACAAAAATTCATTTCAAATTAATATGAATATAATGACAGTCAACATCCTGATGTATGGGAACTACCAAAATATAATAACAATCAACATTAAATATCAGCATTAATAGAGGCATGAGAGATTGGGGGTGTTTTGGTCTTCTTAGCTCAAATAGGATCTAATGGAATAATAAAAAATAGGGGTGATGAGCAGCGGATATACCGATCCGCCAAAACCGACCGAACCTATCCGATCCGATTCGCCACATTTTGAACGGATGCATGGTGACGAGCGGATGGTTGCGGATTAATTTTCTCAAATCCGCCAATTTGGCGGATGGATGGCGGATTTGAGACTCCTTTGGCCGCAACCGATCCGCCAAACCGCAAGCACCCTTAGTAATTTATAAGATTTTGTGTTTTCAATTTGTTTAAATATTTTGTTTGTATTTTCAATTGAAAAAGAGTTTAAATATTCTGTTGAAAAAAAGTTTTCAACATGAATATATTTTTTAAATTGAAAAAAATAAACGTATAATTTATTATATTTTTTGGTTTTTAAATCTAACTTTAAAAATAATAAATAGAAAATATGATATATGCTGGTTGGTTTTGTTTTCAAAAACATATATAAATGTAACAATACAGAGACATACAATCTCTACTACTGCTCTGTTCATGGTTTTGGTGGTTTGAATTATTTTATATTTTAAGAACCACATATTGTAATACTTTATGTGGATAAGATATGTTGTGATTGTAATATGTAGATGAGGCATGCAGTGATTGTGATATTCTAAAGTTTCAAACTTTCTTTCTTTGGATGAGACATGCAGTAATTATAATACTTTTTTAAGTCATTGACTGTAATACTTTCTTTTTTTTTGTTTGTCGAAGAAGTGCACAAGTTGAATTATGTTGAAAATTTAAAAAATTTCAAACCGTCAAACCGATTCGCATCCATCCGCCAAACCGCCAATCTGCTCAATCCACATCCGCCGGATTGGTGGATGGATGCAGATTGATTTTCTCCAATCCGCTACTCTGGCGGACAGATGACGGATTGGAGGTTTCGTGGCCGCAATCAACCCACACCCACCCCTAGTAAAAGAGAATATGAATTAAATAAAATAAAACTCTTAGAAAGATGACTTACCCAAAAAAGCTCCCTATTTATTTTTATTATTATTATTATTTTATGAGATGAGATCATAGTAAGCTTCAGAATTCAAATTACGATGGGAATGGGAAAGCTTTAAGAAACAAAAAGAGCTACTATGAAATTCAATTCAATTCATTCATTCAGGGATATATACATAGATAGAGAGAGAGAGAGAGAAATTTGTTTAGCTCCTGTGTGTTGTCCGAAGGGGACCAATTGTTTCAGGCGATGGGGATTTTCCGGAGGAGATTATCATGAAATTACTTGTGAGATTGCCTGTGAAGTCGGTTATGAGATTCAAGTGCGTGTCAAAGGGGTGGAACCATATGATCTCCAATGCTGCTTTTCGTACGACTTATCTATCTCGACATGGTGAAGTTGAACAACCCTTTGGATTCTTTTACCATCGTCCAAGACCCAATTTTACGTATCACGGACCTTCCATGAGAGGTATTGGACCAACCAAGTTTATCAACACCACTAATGCTGCTGAGAGACCAGAATTGAAAAATCTAGATTATTTGCACGAGCTCGGCTACATATTAGTCTCGTCCAAAGGCCTTCTTCTACTTAGCCCCGATCCTATGAGTTATTATGTGTATGATTTCGTTTCCAAAAAGCATGTCGAGCTTCCGAGAACCCTTAAGTATTCTTATGTTGATGTTGGATTTGTCTGCAAAGAACAACACAAACAAGGTAGTTATCATCTCAGTTACAAGGTGGTATGTATAGGAACAACCCACCATGAGCACATGTACAAAAGCAAAACCCGAAAACTGGAAACTTATTCATCAGAAACTGGCAAGTGGCAAATTTCAATCATGACAGCCATATCAGAGTTTGGTTTGGGTCTGCATTTCACAGCAAAAGTGATAGGAGGTGTGTTTCACTGGTTTGAAGTTGAGGGCTTAAAGGTTGTTGTATACAATCCAGATGATTCAGAGGGACACGTAAAATTGATTGAATTGCCCTCTGACCCGGGTGTTCCTCTACTCAGTTCGCAAGGTTTTGGGGGAACACATGACAATGAATGTCTTCAATTTTATGACATCTACCAATCCATTGATGTGTGGATACTGAAGAGTAAACAAGAGGGTGTGGTGGAAGCTATTTGGATGAGAAGGGATGATATGGTTGAACAGAACCGGTGGATCTTAACTCATAGAATCAAGATGGAGCTTCTTCCATCTAAAATTGGAATTTCTTTTCTACATCCTATCGCAATTTGCCCATGGAATCCAGGCTTAATTTTCATGTGCATATTTCTCAGACCAAATGAGATTGTGTCATATGATCAAATTTACCAATAGATTGAAATCGTGTCATATGATCTAATTGATGGGGAAGGATTGAAGTCATCTCTTCTTCTTTTACGTCCCTTTTCAATGGCCAGTGTGGCCCTGTCTGTAGTTTAATCACACCATGAAGGGGTGGTGGCAGTGGTGATAATGGTGATGATGGTGAGAGTGAAAAATATGTTCTCAAATAAATTCATTTTACAGATTGCTTGAAAATTTATCTTTTGCATGGATGAAGGAATTCTCGTAACATCATTGTGCATTTGATGCCGATTTTGGGATTTCATTCTGGAAATATCCGAGATTACATGACTTGTTAAAGCAGCTTCAACAAGAACAAATACAGTATGATCTTCAAATGCTAGCTCCAAATCACCAACTAGTATTTGTTGCCCATAGGCCTTTGTGCTTTCAGAGAAGTGATTAAACAAGAGACAAAAATACAACAAACCAATTCAAAGTAAAAACCCAAGAAAAGAAATGAGTCACCAAACATAAATTACTTGCAATTTTTGATTGAGTCACGCACAAAAGTACAATGACTAGGTTTTTTATGCCACAACCTGTGTCCACAAAATGTTGGTGTTTCTCTCCCAGTTCAAGCGATGAAGCATTCTTGTTTTCATTCCACTTGTTTTCAGTAAGTGCAAGCAACACAATCAACTCGTGGCTTCATTCCACTTTTTCTCTGCAACTGCAAGCAGGTTTCAGACCAAATGTATAGAACATGTTGAGGCATATATTGTACCAAGTGCTCTACGCTCAGGTCAAGTTGAAGTGCGAATCTATGGTGCAAAATCTCTTGCCGCTGGTAAAGTAAACATAAACTATTTTAACCAACAAAAAAGGTAAGCATATGGTTCAATGAGAAACTGGACTTCAAGTACTTCTAAAATAGAAAAGCAACAAAAAAGATAAGCATATAGTTCAATGAGAAACTGGACTTCAAGTATTTCTAATATAGAAAATCAACAGGCAAGACTTAATAGAAAATCTAATTATTGGCTTCACAATATTTTGCTGGACAATATATCAGTGCATTTTAATGGCAGAATGAAAAATTTTCTCCTTTGTTTGGCATCTCCCTTCCAACATTTGGTTTACTTCTTACTCAACATTTGGTTCACTTCACCCGTGTTTTGTTCCATGTCCAGAGAATGCACATGACGTTCAAATATAAGATGCAACTCCCTATTGCTTTTGAGCTATAGTGCAACGGAGACAACAAAAAGTCCATTACACCCCATGATGACAAAATTACATTTTTAAACCAAGCCAACTCAAGCTACCAAGTACCACGATTCTTTAAACCCAAATCAATCTATTTTTGCTTTTCTTTTTCTTCTCCGTGTTCTTCTTCACAATCTGACAAGCCCAAAAGCTGAGCTCATCAACATTGAATTCAACTCGGTTGATTGTTTGTAGGTCTTGAACAGTCTTTGGTGGACATGTCTTCAAGGGTTGATGGGAAATCAAGGGAATTTGAGAGGAATTCTACGGGGGCTCACTAACTTATATTTATAACACACACATAAATATATATATGGAGAGCGAGAGGGCATGAAATTTACCTGTTTAAGAGAGGAAAAGAAATTGGAGTTGAGAGAGAAACAAGGGGTTTGGACTGTGCTGGGGATAAAGGGGATGCTAGCAGCGATGGAGATGGAATGGTGGTGGGTTGAGGAAAAAATAATTGCAGCGACATGGATTTAATTAGAAATGTTCACACAAGTCAATTACAATTAAGTATTTTAGCAAATCAATAATCAATTACATTTACAAATTTTAGTTAACAAATAAATAAATAATAGAGTTGCACAAATATGGTTTTTGTTGAATTATAATTGAAAAGAAAAAAAAAATACCAGTAAGGATTGGAAGGGAAGGGGGCTGATGAAGTGCAGTGATGGTGGCAATTGTGGTGGTTGGGACTAGAGAGGGGAGACATAGTAGAGTGGGAGAGGGAAATTGATCAATGCTGATAAGAACCAAAAGCAGTTGGGGGCGAGAGAGCAGAGAAGAGAAGTGGGAGAGAGAAACAGTAAAAACTAGTATGCCATCGTGTGAGGACTAGAGAGAGGGGGAAGAGAGAAGAGAAAATTAATATAGTAAGGGTGCAGTTGGTGGACGTGGGGGGAGGGGGGGGGGAGTTTGGGATGGGCCAATTCCTGTATGTGGCAACAATACAGTTAAATTGGACCGTACTTTAGTCCAGATATACGTTTATAGTTGAATGCTGAGGTTATCCGCACATAAACCAAATCAAATGCATAATAAATTTTTGCCATCTGCAACACAATGTTAAGGCAATAAAAGCAGTTGATTGACAACCTTCATAACTATTATTTGTTTCCAAATTAAAAAAATGAAACTTCAACCATAAAGAGTACATATTTGAGAACCTGACAAGTTCATTATTCAGCTGCCAATAAAATGTTTTGGAACCAGGCAGCACCCATATCATGTTTGGAACATTACAACAAGCAAAAACATTATAACATAACAAAATAAGTGAACCATTAAGAGCACTACTATGACCACACCATGGAGAATGTATTTGAGCAAATATAACCCAAAAGCTTCACAAAGTATTCAAGAGCGGTATCACAGAAAATCAAAGAATCAAACAGGCCATAACACCATCAGTTGAAAGTTTATAAGAACTCTAACCTTTGGAAGTAGATGGAACCACAACAATATGCATGTTTGCATTGTTTGGAGGAAGATCTAACCGAAGCGGATAAAGCTTTTTATTCAGTGGATTACGCAAACATACAATTATATCCTCCAGCCCTGTTTCTTCCTCCAACTTTTCAGTCAGTTCCTCCAAACCATGTCCCTTAAAATTAAAAGAAGGCGCTTCCTTGCCCTCCTCAATCTTCCCATTGTCATCCACTACATTGTAAGAAATAATCCGGCCTTCAGACTTCACCGATGAACCACCAATTGAATCACTTGACTGCATATACATATGTATGAAGACATCCATGAAAGAGTGCGCGTTAAAATTTCCATACCATGAATCACATGATTACAAGAAACAAAATTTGGTTTATTTTGCATCAAAAAAAGTAGAAATATTTCCATTTCCTAGGAAACTAAAACGAAATATTAGCTGAATTCCAAAATTCTAATGTCTAAACATACCAAAATATTTAATTTAATTTTTTAATTTCTTTAATATTTTCTTACAAACCTTTGTTTCCTAGCTTATAATATTGATATATTCAACATGTTCAATTATGTAATTATTGAGAACATATTAACAATTATATAAATTTTAATTTTTATTCCCAAACAATTTCAAAAAAAAAAATAAAAAATCATTTGCCATGTTTTCCAAATGTTTCAAAAAATGTTTCCCAGAAGATTTTTGTTTCCAACACCATTGCACCAAAACAAAATTTCAATCCTTGCGTAATTAAAACAAATAATTGAAAGAGAAAAAAAAAAAAATGCAATGTAATTGAATCAAACCATGATTGTAAGAAATAATCCGGCCTTCAGACTTCACCGATGAACCACCAATTGAATCACTTGACTGCATATACATATGTATGAAGACATCCATGAAAGAGTGCGCGTTAAAATTTCCATACCATGAATCACATGATTACAAGAAACAAAATTTGGTTTATTTTTCATCCAAAAAAGTAGAAATATTTCCATTTCCTAGGAAACTAAAACGAAATATTAGCTGAATTCCAAAATTCTATTGTCCAAACATACCGAAATATTTAATTTAATTTTTTAATTTCTTTAATATTTTCTTACAAACCTTTTGTTTCCTAGCTTATAATATTGATATATTCAACATGTTCAATTATGTAATTATTGAGAACATATTAACAATTATATAAATTTTAATTTCCCAAACAATTTCAAAAAAAAAAAAAAAATAAAAAATCATTTGCCATGTTTTCCAAATGTTTCAAAAAATGTTTCCCAGAAGATTTTTGTTTCCAACACCATTGCACCAAAACAAAATTTCAATCCTTGCGTAATTAAAACAAATAATTGAAAGAGAGAAAAAAAAAAAAAACGCAATGTAATTGAATCGAACCTCGATTCTAGCCGATCTGGGAGACCTAAGATGGATAGTAGGCGAGCTGGGTTCTGACCCAGAATCAGACGCCACCGCAGGCGGCGGCGGTTGAAGTTTTTTAGGTGGCGGTGGTTCCGGCAGCAACTCAACAACATCAACTTCCCACATTATCCAACCAGTATGCCTATGAGGAATATCATGCGTAATCGAATTCCTAAACGGTGGTAACCCCCCATTTGCTCTCAGATAATTACCGTACCTCGTTTTGAGTCTAACCTTAAGCCCATCTCGAATTGGTTCCCATTCGACCTTCGAATCCAATTTTCTCGGCATCGATTGAACCACTCTCCGACCCGTTACGCCGAGGAGGAATTGCTCGTCTGTGGCGGTGAGGTATTTGCCGTAACAGCTCTTTAATCGGATCACATTGTCGATGCCTTCGACGAATTCGACATTCCATTTGGCTCTCTTGACCGAGCCGTGGCGATCTTGGCAGACCGATTCTTGATCATCGTCGGCTAATAAGTACTTGTCGTGGTAGCTTCGAAGACGAATCGATTTCGCTTTTAGGAAGAGCTCCATTTTTTAAAATCAACAGAATCGATCACGAATCGAATTGAATACAAAGAAATTGATTCATATGAGCATTGTGGAATGGGTTTGGGATTTGGGATTGAAATGTGAATTGATAGAAGAAGATGACAATGGAGGAAATGGCTATTGATGGAGGATGCTGTCAGTAGGGTGTGGACGGTGCGGTTTGGCCAGATAAACGCTGAGGACTCGTTTGGTAATAGTTTAATTTAGTCAATTTTTTTGGCTATTTAGTTAAAATATGAACTAAAAAAATTAGTATGTTTAGAATGATTTTTTAGCTTTTTACGAAAAGATGTGCAAAAAATAAAGAGAAAAGAGAATTTTTGACTTTTTAGTATGAATTATTGACTTTTTGGCTAATTTAGGCCCCGTTTGGGACTTACCTTTTTAGTCAAAAAGTAAAAAAATTACATTTTTAGCCAAAAAGTCAACAACTCACACTAAAAAGTTAAAGATTTTCTTTTATCTCTACTTTTTGTACATCTTTTCGTAATTAGCCAAAAAGTCATCCCAAACATATAAGTTTTTTTTACCTACTTTTTTAGCCAAATAGCCAAAAAGTTACTAAATTAGTTTGTTTCCAATCGAGCCCTTAGTAATTTTTTAACTTTTTAACTAAAAATGAGAATTCTCAAATGAGGCCTAAATTTATAAATTGAACGGGAATTAGTGGATTGGTGGAATGACGAATTACGATTCGAGTGATTTTGGGTGAATTTATAGACTAAATAATATTTTAATTAATTATTAAGTTTTTGTATAATATATAATAGGGTAAATTATAAACATAAATTTGTTTAAAATATGAATTTATTTTTGTGGTTTGAAAAATTATAAATATCTTTCCGTCATAATTTTTTATTTAACAGAATTAATTAAAAAAATAAAATTTTTAACTGTTCACCTATATAATAATAAAATTATCTGAATTATTAATTGAAATAGAATTTTAATATTATTAAAAACTGTTAATTAACTTGATGATTTATTAATAAAAGGACTTATTTGTTATGAAATTAGAAACTTATGGGGCATCATGTAATTTTTAGAACCACAGGAAATAATTTGTAACTTAAATAAATTTCAGGGGATGTGTTTGTAATTTACTTATATAATATTAATTTGTATAATATTTTTTATATGTATAATACAAACTAATTTTACATAATTTTTTTGTATATATAATTATTAATTTGTAATAAATTTTACATAGGGTTGTTTGGGGTGTCCTAAATAAGTGCACTTTTTATCTTTTTGGACTAAAAAGTTGAAGAAAAAAATATGGATGCTTCGGTTAACTTTTTGACTTTTTATGAAAAATGTGTATTAAAAAATTGTATAAATAAATGTGTAGGAGAAGATTGTGATGGAAGTGATGAAATAGCTGTACGGTGAGGGAAAGTGGGTGTAGAGCGGGGGAGGTGAGATGATTCCCTGCTTTTTCGGGCAGTGAATTGAAGGTGTTGTTCGGCCCGTAGGGGCCTACCGCGGGTCCCGTTTTGCTAATCAAAACCGGTTGATGTGTAGAAATCGTCGAGTACTATATGCTTGTAAAAAATCACGTTAATCGAATATTGATAACTATCTGATCGGATTAGTTTTTTTTCAATCGTTAACTATAATACCATTCATTTTATAAATTTTAATTGATTTGTTCATATAATTATCAATATCCGATCAATGTGATTTTCAATAAATATGTAGTACTCGACGATTTTTACACATTGAACGGTCCAGATTATTAAAATAGGACCCGTGATGACCCCCACGAGCTGAACAGCACCGTGTTATGTGTACATCTAAATAAGTGCAATTTTTCCCACAACAATGCTCCGCTTGCTCTCCTGTTATGATTGTTTGAAAAGGAAGATGGTATAAAGTTAATTTTTTAATATTTTTTTTAGGTGGATAGTAATAGCTTTTTAACTTTTTAGTTTTTTCTGGAGTAGTCAAACCAAGCCTAAATTTCTCTTACATTTATTTTTACTTTGATATTTTATTGTAAATTAAAAAAATATATATTAATTATAGCGGAGTGAAACGATTTGGAAGGTGAAATATAAATTTTAAAGTTTAAATTACAGGTAACGGATAGAACGTTGCAAATTAATATGGATCAGTACAATTTTAACCTATTGAAGGGTATTTTACACAATCTAGCTGTCAAACATCAAGGTGGCGCATCATGGTGGGCTGGGAAGCCACAAACAAACCGTGTTGCTGTTTGATTTCATTTTTTGTTTTTGTTTTTTTAAATATTAGTAAAATTTAATTTGGTGGAAATAAATATTTAAAAAAATGTTTTTGAATTTGTATTTATTTTTGCATGAAAAAATAAAAAGGAAAACAACTGCACAGTCGTGCAGTAAAAAAGTTAATATAAATTAATAAAAAAATTTATAAATTTTAATAATTGAAATATTATTTTTTTCATGATTTTGCATCTTTTTTACTACACCACTGTGCAGTTATTTCCACAAAATAAAATAGTATGCAAATAATGAGTGATTTAGAAGAAAAAAAAATCATCAATTTTAGTGTTTAATGCTTTTTAAAATTCAGATTCTCAAGACAAAAATAACAAAAGGTGAATTATGTGAATCAAATGTAAATGCATTTGTTTTTTTTCTATTTAGAGAGATGGGACTTCAAGTTCTTAGGAAGAGCTGCATGAGGTAGCTCACGTACAATTTAGGAGCTAAGCCCCAGCACAGAGACCCAAGTGACAATCAACAAATAAAGCCACAGCAGCAAGTTTATCAAGCTTCTGCCCCTACCATAGAGAAGAGAAGTTCAAAGTTTTGCAGTGTCAGCAGGCATAAATGGACAGGGTGATTCGAAGCTCACTTGTGGGATAAACTTTCTTGGAATGTTACACAGAAGAAGAAAGGGAAACAAGGTAGACAGTGTTCATTGTTCGCTATGCCTAACACTTAATTCATTTTTTATATTGAAAATCTTGTACCTAATTTGAGATTTTTCGCTTTGTTTCTGCAGTCTGGCACTTTGAAATGGAACTTTCGGATGGACAGTTTATCTTGTTGAGTGCTCTTTGTTACCAGGAGTTTTGGACTATATTTTGTCTTTTATTTTTACATTAAACTAAAAAACACATCTCCTCAAATTTCTCAGGAGCTTATGATGAAGAAGAATCAGCAGCAAGAGCATATGATTTAGCTGCACTTGAGTATTGCTGGACATCAACTTACACCAATTTCCCTGTATACCATCAGTTGTGAATAAATATGAGATTGTTTGCAATATACACGTTTTCCATCTATATGAAATATAACTTCTAGTTGAACACTTTTGAAATTTTACACAAGTGTCTGCTTACGAGAAAGAGATTGAGATAATGCAAACCGTAACAAAGGAGGAGTACCTAGCCTCTTTAAGAAGGTATGAATTCAAATATCTCATCTGATTTTTAATCAAGTTTGTTCATGGATATTCTGCTTAAATACCTAAGTTTTTTTTAATCCTTTGTTATAGAAAGAGCAGTGGCTTTTCAAGAGGCGTATCAAAGTACAGAGGAGTTGCGAGGTATGGGTATTCTTTTTCCTTCTATAAATAGTGATGAACCGACATATATTTATTACTGATGAGGAAGCAGATTATTCTAAAACTAATGTTTTGGGGACAAAATACAGGCACCACCACAATGGAAGATGGGAAGCTAGGATAGGAAGAGTCTTTGGAAATAAATATTACATCCAAGTCTAGAATGGATACAATACACCAACATATTTAACCAAAATCCATGGATTAACAATGCAACAGTATAAGCTAGTGTTTGCTTACCCATGTGGCACATCTCTCGTTACAGGCACCCAGGAGGAGGCTGCTCGTGCTTATGACATTGCAGCAATTGAATACAGAGGCATCAATGCTGTGACCAACTTTGACCTGAGTTCATACACTCCAGTTGCTGTGCAAGAAAAACAGACAAACACAGAATCTCAGTCAGTCCCATCCTCTTCGCTTCAGGAGAGGAATCCAAATCCTTCTTGTTCAATGCCAATAATTTTAGTCTAGATGACTTGAACTTTCCTCAAAAGCAAGAAGTGCTTGAAAGGAAATTCCCGGTTAGCTCATACGCAGTCTTCTTCTCCCACTGCACTTGGAATCCTCCTTTGTTCTTCGGTATTTAAAGAATTGGTGGAAAAGAATTCTAATGTCTAAAATTGACGGGGAAGACACAGAGCACCAATTACAAATTGGCAACGATGATGAGTACGCAAGGATATTATATGATGGAAATGGTGATATCCCATTTGTGCTATCTTCCAGCCGTCATGTTGTTGAGTTCCAAGGAGAGCTCCACTTCACCTATAATGATCAAGGTGAACCTCTTGGAGCAGCATCATGCAAAATGCCTTCTATGTGATCACTAGTAGCATTTGCAGGACATCTTGAGCAATCTTAACTTCTTTTCTTTTTTTCTTCTCTAGAAATTTGTTAATTGAGCTTTTCTTTGTTGATATATGAAATTCCTCTCTTTTTCTATATCACATACTCGCATCTACTTACATGTACAAAAAAATACTTTCTTAGTCAAGTCAAGTGGAAGCATGATCAATACCCCTTGCCTTTCATTAATCTACTGATATGGACTTGCAACCGCACTATGAACAGCTAAGAAGCATGGACACGGACACGTGACACGACACGGATACGACACGGACATGCCGACACGATAATTTTCAAAAAATGTAGGACACGACACGCGGGGGACACGCATGAAATATATAATTTTATATATTTATTATATGTTATATATATGAATATATCATTCAAAAATAATAAAAAAATGCAATATGACATTAATCCCTATAAATTTATGTGATTTTTGTTTTATTATTGTATCTTAAGTTGTTTTGTTCAAACTTATAATTAGTTTCACATGTGTCTAATTGATAGGCATGTGTGTTTAAGAGATGGACACGTGTGTCCTCCAAGTGTCCATAGAGTGTCCGGGTCTTTAAAAGATAGGACACGTTATAAAGAGTGTCGGACACGTGTTGGGAAAGTGTCCAAAGAGTGTCGGTGTCCGACACGGACACGACACGGATACGTTACCTTTTTAGAAGTGTCCGTGCTTCTTAGATGAACAGTGTTGTTGAATCACAAAGATAAAAGAATTTTAGAAGATATAATCGATGTGGGCTCAAAGGTGGC